ATCTATCTATCTATCTATCTATCTATCTATCTATCTATCTATCTATCGATCTATCTAGCTATCTATCTATCTATCTGGCTATCTATCTATCTATTTATCTATCTATCTATCAGCATCAAAATTTACCCCTACTGAACAACTTTGACATTTCTAGAGTGCTCCGTATTGATTTGCATCGAGAACAGACAAACAGACACACATTCACAAATATGTATTAGATGAAAAAAGACGAACCCTTTCGGTGACGCATCGAAAACAGTACTACCACGAAATAGATACACAAGTAAACATAATTATACATTTCGATACTTTTGTACACGTATACCTTGTCATAGGTTCGCAACTCTGAGATAAACTTTGGCGGATCCTGTAGCAGCGCCTTGCCTGCATCCCAGTAGTCATCTATCTTCTGGCCAAGCTTCTCTCCTGGCACCTTCTTCGGTTTCACTTCAAACATGATGCAGACCGCCTCCATGACTAACCTCACGCCATCTGGCGGACGTTGCATGGCCCTCACCTACATGTAAATGGCAGAAAAGACGGCGATGCGAGTAATCACTAAAACTAATTAAATATCAGTAGAATAACAAATCTATCCATGTTACAATTTTCATCTTAAGCTGGGTTTACACTGCCAACTTTGTGTTGGCGAATTGCCGAATTGTACCAACTTCGCAATTTTGCAACTGACAATCGGCAGTGAAAATGCAAAAGTTGCACGTCCAACCGATCGATAGCAGCTAGTTGGGAGATTAGAACATGTTCTAATTCGGCAATTCGGCAATTCGCCAACTCAAAGTTGGCAGTGTAAACCCAGCTTTAGTGTAACAAATTAAGCTACGTTATGACCTACAAAACCCCGAGTCGCCCACGCTGCTGCGCACGTGGCTATACTCTGGCACAAAGTCAAATCACTTTCTAACGATGCAGAGCTTCATGCGAACGGACTAACTACGTTATATGAATTTCACGTCGTTCTTCTTTTTCGATAAATTTTTTGCCTAATACCGGAATCCACAACGCCTTAGTTTCAATGCGATGATGACACGCCTCGTAGGTCGCGGGCAAGTAATGAATGACTCTGTAGGAGCAAATGCAGCGTGCTGGCCAGGACGCGCCTAGGGCGGGAAACGCCATCGACGTGTGTGTACCTCGACAATGTCGTTCTTGTTGAGAGCGTCCAGACTTTTCAGCGCAGCGTCGAGAGCAGGCAACGCCTCGGCAAGATCGCGTTCAGCATCGTCTGCGATATCCTGCGACGCGACTCTCTGCGCCTCGGCAACGGCCTCGTCCTTCTCTACTGCCTGCTTTGTAACCTCGGCGATCTGTCGCACAGGAAGGGGTAGGCAAATTGGCATTGCACGCAACGTAAATGAGAAAAAAAAAACCAATTTTATCATGGCTTCATTCGTGAAAGGATGAAAAAAATACTGTTCTCCTTCACGAGTCTGCACAAGAGGAAGAGACGAAAGCGATAATTCTGCAGCATTTGCCTAGTCTTATTAGACTATCTATGTTCATGAATATTATACTAGCACACGAATATATTTATCCTTACGATTTTCGGTCATAAGCACCAACACGTTAATACGACATTTTGGAGAAGATCAGATGACGACAGGCACTGCATGTATATATCCGTCTTCCACCTTTTTCGACGGTAGAAATGTTTAAAGTAGAAAGCTGTCAAACCTGTTGATTTCCAGCTTCAAGTGCCAACATCAAAAAATGCCGCGACAGAAAACCATGAAAATTTCAGATTGCAGCAGCTATTTATTTTAAATGTCGGACTGACTGCTAAATGGTTAAGAGTTGCAATTTCCGTAGGGATGTACGTGAGTGTTTAAGGGAATCAAAGAGCATGTCGATCTAACAAAGAAAATATCACATAACGTTGAGATTTTAGCAGTTTATTGCTGAAACGTCATCAAATGTTTAATTTGCATTAGCCCGTCTGATAATGAAGTAGATACATATGCCTAATAGAACTAACAAAGGAACTCTAGGCCAGCCAAAGCAAGTAGGAGTTAGACAGTCTCCGTGGTACGTCAAAGGCAGTATAAATCTACAAATACTCAAAAAACAAAACCGCTATTTATAGGCAAAGCCGAGTTGGACAGTTTTCAAAATTGCGCAAGAATTTGTGCTACAAATTGATAGCATTATAATTTTCCAACTATAAGCCGCTTCCCTGACAATTAGACCCGTGTCGTTTTTGATCCGGGTCAGTCTCGGATCGTTTTCGACCAGGCATTTTCGCTCCGTGTGAACGCGGCTCTAGGATGTAAACATAATGTCAAAATAAATGTTCGACCTGCACTCAGTTAAAGCCGCACAATGCGCATCCAAACGCTAATTTCTCCAGTACTAGACTAGCAAATACTTCGTGTCATGCGTAATCACACTACCTTATGACAAAATAAACTCTAGTTCCTCCCATTTCACTGCGCGTTTGCTTAAAACCCACAAGAAAGAGGTGAGAAAACTGGCATTCTGGCGCAAACGCCGACTGTTTGCCATACAATTTAGCCTCGAAGTGGTGAGGTGACGTTACATGTTTTTATCTTTGCTACACCCGTACCGCTGTACCGCAGCACCGCTGCGCGGTTGCTTGGGGAAACTGTCAGCAACATCGGAGAATTTTAACAACATTGGAGGTATTTTCAAATACCTTTTATAAGACAACGCGCAGTGAAATGGGAGGAACTAGAGTTTATTTTGTCATAAGGTACTAGTGTGATTATGCATGACACGAAGTATTTGCTAGTCTAGTACTGGAGAAATTAGCGTTTGGATGCGCATTGTGCGGCTTTAAATCTGCTTTTACTATTTCAGTATTAATTCGCTCATTAGGAATAATTCTTTGTGATTGTCATTTAACACACTTGTATAATATGTCAGCTTTGTATTACGGTGTCATTCACCAAGAGATCAGTTAGCTATAACAAACAGCAGAGCAGCTTCGTCAAGATTAGCAGCTATTACGTATAGATGTAGGTTTTACACAGTGGCCACAGCCTCAGCATAGGACTGGAGCGAGTCAACACCAGCGTTACGAAAGTCTATACTCAGACAGAGTACCGGCTCCGTAAAGTACCTTTTCAGCCACTTTTGTACCCCGTACAATATTCGAGACCGAAGCTCTCTTGCTATCTCCGCTTTTGAAACAATCATTTCCGGCAAGAAATACTTTCGGTACCATAGCGCTTGCTTATGGAACCAACTACCGCCACCATCTGCTACAAACCTCAAAACTTTAAAGAGTTTCCCGATGTCGTGGTCGGGTCCATCTTTGTATGCACGATGTGCCGTTGTCATACCCACAAAACACTCGTTAACGGAAAGTTTAACGGTGCTGGGGTGTTGTTGACCTATGCATTGTCTGCTGTTCTATCAGCTGCTACTGCATTCTTTCTCACGTTTATTAATGTGCAATGTTTGTTACTTGTGGAACTATTGCGACTTGTCTATTATATTGTTAACATTTTAGTTGCTTTACGTTGCGTTGTTTAATTATGTGTATACCGGCCACTGTTATTGACTCCATCACATGCCTTTCTTATTTCACTGTGTTGCACGCAATTTCGTAGTTCTGTGTAGGAAATTCTAACTGATACACAATTTCAGCATCTCAACGTGATTATGTTTTAGCGTGCGCGTTATACTTGCATGTGTATGTCAGTTGCCTTCATCAGTTACAGTGATTTTTATGTTTACTATTGCCTTGCACAATCATTCATGCATAGTATGTGTTTCAGTTCAAGTATGCCTACATACAGTTGGGGAACACCAGGGGCTGCTCCTGGTGTTGCCACGGGTCACTTGTTTAAGCTAACCTTTTCTTATCTTTATTGCACTGACAGTGAGGAGGTCATGTTGCACTATACTGGCCGTATGAATTCTTCATTGAATTGGATTATTACTGCCACGTGTGAGCCGTAAGCTCAGATATTATATCTTGTGGGTGCACAGATAACTACGGACGTACCGTCCACAGATAACGTTCACTGTTGCCTTGAGCGGTCACACCGTGGATTATATACGACTATCTTCGTGGATTGTTTGTGCATAGTATTGTAATTGCTAGTGTTTAGTAAAAGGCTATTATATAAAGCCAAGTGCTGCATAATTCCGTGTTGCTGTTTCTGTGACTGTCGTGCATGGTTAGTCATAACGGAACGCGTGCCTGACAGTTGAGGTGCAAGACCCGACGTGTCACCCCTGTGGGACGATCACGGCCTGATCAAACACCCACAAAGGGGAAAACGTTACAATATGTAATTTTTACCAATGTGCCGTCAGTGAATAAATAAATAAATAAATGAAATACATAAATAAATAAATAAATAATTATCCTCTTGCACAGTAGTTCAAAAATATATATGGTTGACTCGACTGAAATACGTATATTATACATATATATATATATATATATATATATATATATATATATATAATCCCTGAAAATTTTGAAACAGCCCACAGACATACGCATTATATCGGAACCATAATTGCAGTTCTGTTCAAGCCCCTTAAACCTTAAGTACAACCCTGAAAAAGTTTGTTTTGTAACCGCGTCGAACGTATTCAACATGCTTGTATTGATTGTGAGTACGCAATATGCATCCTAGATGGAAAACCAAGCATAAATCAATCACCAACTAAGACCGCCGGCAAACACAAACAATACCCTGAATGCACAAAACGTATTAATTTGAACCACTTTTAGAGCGATGATAATAAGCACGTGCACTAAAACCAGATGATAATTTAAACTGGTTCTTTGAATAATCTTTGATGTTGATTGATTTTCATGTTAGAACAATTACGTATTCAGTATCCATTTCAAACCGTAAAAATGCAAACTATGCCATTATGATTCAACCAACACCGGTCGCTCACAGTAGTGGGCACTGTCACAAACAAACTAGCAGAGCATGAGCGGCAAGAGCTTACCTTTGTATCCTCCTCTATCTGCACCATCGTCAGCTCCGTCTGCTTGGTTGCCTCGACCAATTCTGGACCCATCACCTCCAGTTCGATCTGCATTTTTGCCACCTCCTCTGCTGTGCTCAGCAACTGTCCAAATAGTAAATATGAGTGGAAATTAATATTAGAAGCATACGTATAAGCGAATACACTCGAAAAGTGCATTTAGCATCCGTAATAACAACATGTTACCTTATCAAGACCAGTCTTAGTGCGTAGCCTCTGCCACTAGCATTATGCATCCGTAATAACAACATGTTACCTTATCAAGACCAGTCTTAGTGCGTAGCCTCTGCCACTAGCATTAAGCATCCGTAATAACAACATGTTACCTTATCAAGACCAGTCTTAGTGCGTAGCCTCTGCCACTAGCATTTAGCATCCGTAATAACAACATGTTACCTTATCAAGACCAGTCTTAGTGCGTAGCCTCGCCGTGTTTAGCTCAGACTTCTTCAGCTTGACTAGGTGAGTGAAGATGCCAAGCAGCTCCAGGTAGCTGGTGGGTGTCACGTAGTTGTGACGGGAGAGCTCCTGTAGGAAGCGCACCGACTTCTCCGACACCAGCTGGTGGATCGTCTTGCACATGCATACCTGCCGTGTCGAGCACATAAAGGTCACCTAAAGCCCCTTCACACCCAAAACCGTAAAAATACATAGTAATTCTCACACTCATATCTCGTAAATATCAGTTTATAACATAAATCAATCACTTTTTCAGCTTTGAAATCCCTTTACGCTTATAGAGTGCTCCATACATAGAGAACATCACTTGGTTTTATCGAGACCGAGATGGAATTCGAAGTAAAAGTGAACGTAAAAATCCAACCAGCAACAGAGAATGTTGGAATCAAACTACGATTGCAAAGAGTTCCGTTTGCATAGTCATCTCCTATTGGTTGTTATACCACTGAATACGTTTAGGCGAGTGTAATGGTGGTTTAAAGGCAAGCGCCACTGTTGTGCTCATTTTACATCCTGGCTACTAGCTCCGTGTACCTAATTATCAACATGGATGTCAATACTGCTCCCTTTGCACACTAACTCTACTTCCACTTACCAAACCTTCCATAACAACATCGTCTGCATCCAGGTCAGGAATCTCATTCAGGAAGTTGATGGCAACCGATCGCAGCGCCTCGTCTGGCCACTCAGAGAACCAGTCGATGGTACAGCAGTTGACGAGAGCGGGGAACTGACGTAGTCTGGCTCTAAACACCTCTCCTATTGGGCTGTAAGAGAAGAGTGGACATGAGCACTCACGCGACGACTTCACAGCATAGAACATGACACAATGCAAGGCAGTTGACATGAAGCGGACAACGATGCAAGGCAGTTGACATGAAGGAGACAACGATGCAAGGCAGTTGACATGAAGGAGACAACGATGCAAGGCAGTTGACATGAAGGAGACAACGATGC